ACTAGGAACAAGAACGCTACTAGGGGCTCCTGGCCTTACTACTAGGAGCAAGGACGCCACGAACGGAGCAAGAATGTTGCTCGCCTTTGACCGGAGACCAACTGTACCCGACGGTACCCGCCAAGTCACTGCAAAGGACCCGAACCAGCTCGGCATCATCGATCCTCGGTGCGACGAAGAATCCGCCTCCAAGACTGTATGATTTTGGTATACAACGGTATAAATCACGTGTATGTAAACCACCAAGACTGCTAATTGCTACCCTCTACGTCACGCTTCACTCAAATGGTTTATTGTTTATTCCCCTAGAGATGTGTTTTGAGAGATGTAGTAGTTCTGCGTGTGCTTCATCCTACATCCAATACAACACATCCACCTGGCACCATGTTCATAGTGCCTCTAGCATCCATCCAGTCTTCCACATCCAACGTATCCAAGTCACGCAAAGCTATCCAAGGCCTCTTTCCAGCACGTCTGCGCGGTACCCTGCTCATCGTACTCTTCGAAGTCAATCTGATCAAGAGCAGCGTTCACAGCGTTTCACCATGAAAAACTTGTGACTTAGTGTGACTTAAACTTAGCGACCCAGGGTCCCTGGATGATCTGGCTCTGCTAAAATGCTTTGGCAAGGGTGGCACAGGTAGCAAAGTTTCTCAGCCGAAAGCATGACGCCTGTACAAACCAAACCAAAGGCACTTGGAGGTTAGTCAGTCACACATAGAGACTTATAAAAGGTCTATCATGGGTTCCAGCTGAGTCTTCAGCCTTTTGGAATCCTTTCTCCACCACAGCACGTCTGCACTTCCGCCTCGTCACCCAGGAGTCGAAACTCAATACTGTCGCCCAGCCACTTCTTGGCTCCGTCATCCTGGATGGAAACGGCTCGAAGAAAGTCACATGTTCACTTGTCATTCTGTCCGACTACTGGATCCTCAACGCGGTTTTGTCCGCAATGCTCTGCATGTCGATCATGGTCGTTCTATGTGTTCTCAGCTCGAAGCATCCTTCCTGCTGTTCAAGGCGACGAAGCTCTCAGGTGGTAAATGATTCTGATCAATCTCAGCACCAGCAACACCCCTGCCCAAATTGGCCCTTTGGTCCTTTGGCAACGACTGTTGATGGGAGAAATCCTAGACCGCCTAAGATTCAGAAATCAGGCAAAACAACAATGAAAAACCCATGAAGAACCCCACAATTTTTGGGTGAAATAGATGACTTAAGGCGAAGCCTTCACCCCATCCGTCCGTCATCCGCCGATGCGAAGAAAACGGCCTTGGCTGCGAGATACAGCGCGTCGAAGTTCTTCGCCCCCGCGCGGTCGGCCACGCGGTCGGCTTCGAGGCAGCGGACCTATAGACGTCTCTGACGGAGGGGATGAGTCAGTAGAGCGCGTTGGGAAAGACATGGATATATCATGATATATCTAATGACATCTATGGACACTTGGATATGTGCAAATGTTTCTGGGTGTGAGTGATGTGTTGGTTTGAAGAAATGTGTTGATCCTGACCACACCGATCACTGCAAGCAAAGGGTTAGCAAGGTCTACCGATTGCCTTCAGCTGGGTGCGGCAAATGAAGCCATCTGCGGCAAAGCCCAGATCCACCTCTTGGCTTGGGACAGACTGGGGCAGCTCGGGTGTCCAAAAAGCCCTACAAGTAGGATTAAGTTGCCAGCACATTTTAGACATACGCCGGTGTTGCCTGCAAAAGGCCATGGGTGGTGGAAAGAGAAGCGCACAACATCAATGGCCTGACAAAATCGTCTAGGGAGGCCTAGTATCATTTACATCCGACGCTGGATGACCTGGCAGTCTGTATGGTTGGTATCCTTTGGGATATGACGCCCTCGCCGGCGGTATGGTCTAGCTGTTGCCAACGGTCTTCCAGCTACCTCTTCCAGCGCTTCCAGGTGGTGACAAACATAGACGTCTCTTCAAACCAATTCCAGGGCCCCCAGTTTGGCTGTCCGGGCATGAGAAAATTGCAGAACCAAATTCATTTGGCAACAAAATGGTATGACTACCAACACTAGCGAGACCACCTCTGATTGGCCGATTGCGCTGAACCGTTTCAGCATCAGCGTCGCCTCCAGCATGGCGCGGGTCGAGAGCCACGAAAGCCGGTCGTAGGAAGACGTGATTGAGAGGAATGGACCAACCACTGAAAGCATCTGCTTGAACTCCTCTTCTCCTCAATCCGACAACAGCCCATCTGCAGGAGTGACATTCGAGCGTGTCATGTCTTTGAAAAGACAGCTTCCAGGGAGGGCCTGGCAATGATGGAACTTGGGTTCGCAAATCAGTTCAAACATGTTTGATCCACATGCAGCTGTTTGATTCAAGCAAAATCAGAAGACATGCTTGCACTGTTTGTCGCAACACACATCTGCGTTTACACATAACATGTATACATCGCTCATCATCGCTCTAATTCTGTGTAAGGTGCCATCACCAGCTGTCTGTCCCAAAAAGCCTTGGTTCATGTCAACGGCTCCACAGAAATGTGTTCGTCCCTCTCTATGTCCAAAGGGGCGAGGAAGATCATGTTACTTATTACTGTACTAGTTATTACATGCTATTATTATGCCTTTTCCGTTGTGATCAGACCCAAGTTGAAGGCAAAAGGTACGGGATCTCTCGGTACTTACTCTCGGGATACTCTCGGGATCTGCACAGGAAACGGTCACTCTCGGGTGCCGCTTGAAGAGGATCCTTTCAGACCAAGCTGGCAACAAATGCATCGTGGTGAACTGCGCCCGTGCCGTTAAGGATAGCGGGCATACCATCAGTTCCATGGCAGTGTGTTATGAATGTTCCTTGGACGTAGGCAACTGAGTGAATCTAAGCTGGGATGAAGTGCTCAACGGTCGAAGCAAGCCCATCCCCTACTGCCCAGATGCATAGGAGGTGTTCCAAAGCTTTGGACTTGCCAGAACATCGATCACCCATGAGGAAGAGCACCTGGTTCTCCTCGTTTGAGTCACAATTTGCTGCCGGGAAAGGGGAAGACATGCCTCAGAACTCAAAAATGCTACAAGCACGGATCTTCAATCATCATCCAATCGCTTGTTACAGTAGCCGTAGTGCCGTTGTTGTTCGCTAGACACTGCTGTCTGAGGCCAAAGCCAAAAACTAAAGCACTTGAAGAAATGGGCCTTGTTTTTGAGCTCTGAAACATCTCAAAGATGCGCTTGCAAAGCTGACAAAAGAAAAGAAACGGAATCGCGAACCGCCGAACCGCCCCTTTTGCCGCAGCCTTCTTCGACATACTTCTCTGGTACGCTTTGGCAGATGCATTGAAAATATGCGGAGGCAGGCCTGGATCCTGCGAAGTGGGATGTGGACTGCTTGGCCGATGTGGTGCGGTTTGTCGTTCGATGTGATTGAGCAGTGCGAATCAGTACGATCTTTAGCTTTGAAAACATCGAGGGATTCAAATGGAACCAATCACCAATCCATCTATTTCAGGCTTCTCCCAGCTTTGTGCAAGGCGCTTGCCTGTTCCGACCTTTTGCTCTATTTTGCTCTAGTTCAATTTATAGATATCAACTTCAGTCAACTTCCCTCGATGCATAACAAGGTTCCAGTGTTGCATACTTGTCAATGAAGGTCTCATCAAAGATTGGAAGGGGTCTGAAGGGATTGACACAAAGCGTGATGTCGTTGATGTTGGAGTACCTGAAGTTTGGGCCGCTGAAGATGGCGAACCGCCCGTTTGTAAGAGAGGCTTGTGTTGGGTACCCTTGCAATCCTGCTGAGCTCTAGATCTAGAGAAATGGGTGCCTCGGCAAGAGGAGAACGTAGCTACTACTGAAGGATAATTTGGGGGTGGGTCATTTCGATGCCCAATAGCAGATCAACAACAATGCAACACTAACCGTTGAGACATCTGGAAAGAGTACTGCGCTGTTGCGACCCGAAATGTTCCAATTCAAACCAAATGGTGACAAGGTGCGGGTTCTGGTTGCAGAATTGATTGCGGATTGCATCCTGAGCAAAACTGGAAGATCATCTTCAAACCGACGCTGGTTGAGCAGTCGTTTTGAATGTTATGACAACGTTGGACGTGTTGAACGTGTTTGAAGTACGATCACTTTAAAGCCAAGTCACTTCTACGCGCCTATCTCCAAGTCCGTCTTTGTCCTTACTGCAAAGCCAAGTCAATGAGAGACGAGAAAAAAAGGAATACTAAAAGCAAATCCAATGGTTTGGTTCTTCCCAACTGTAATATACATGTTGTTCCTTGTGCCTCAGAATCAAATGATGTTACAGGCGGATGCAGTTTCACATGTTTCGAAGGTACTCGGATCCCCACTTGCAGCTGCAAAGAATGCTTCTTGAAGCGTCCCAAACACCCATCTGTGGGTCAATTGGTCTGCCGGTGAAACAATGAAAGCACTGATGATGCAGTTCATAATATGTTCACCAAGTACGTGAAGTATATGGCAATAAAGCAAACTTGTTACAGTATCGCAAATAGCGTAAACCTTCAACCTGTGCACTGTCAAACATCTGTGGAGGGTGCACCTGTTTTCCACCCTCGGATCTATGCGTGCCCTTCCTTGACAACTGTGTTCAAGTTGATAATATGCCCTTTTTACAATCTGTTGATATCGATGACATTCGATGACCCATGTTGCACCACCGAAAAGGCTCCACCTACTTGGATCATCGCCAGATGAGTCTCCAGCATCGCCAGATTCTGCGGATTGGGTCCATCTCGGGGGCAAATCGAGCGCACCTCCTCAGGAGGGACCAATACATCCTGCAGTGCGGTCCGATTCGTCGGCGGAGGTGGAATTTGAGCGGAGGTTGATGCAGGAAAGAATCAACAGAAAACTTCACCACAAAAAAGGCTTCATTCATGCCAGGACTGGCTCATGTTTGCTGTGTCTGGAGGAAAGTTGTTCGCGGCAAAAGCAGTACAACCTCTGCGAACATGGTTCTTTCCATTCCGAGCTCATCGACAAAGCGCGAACCGCTTCTTTTCACTTGAACAAAATGCCTCAGTTAAGAGGTCACTTGTGCTTGTCTTCACTCAACAGACTCCCCCTTCGCCGTTTTTCTGGCGAACCGTCTGGAGAAGGTCAAAAGCAGGCTCAAGGCATTCGTTTCTGTGCTTTGACCTTGAAGTATTCCGCCCTCATTTTTTGAAGGCTCCAACCACGACCCGCATTGTCGTGTTGAAATCTATTCCAAGGGTTCTGGATCGGTGAATCCAGCTGCTGCTTCTTCAGCGGCTCTTCTGTGCTCGATGCGGCTGTGGATGCCGCCAGCTGCTTGCGGACCATGGAGTCCGTTGTTGCCATCGCCTTCATCAGCGCTCTGGATGCTCTTTCGGCGCTTTCCGCTGCACGGTCAGCCGCGTCAGCTGCCATCTGAGCTCCTTCGGCAGCCTCACTGGCCGCCTTGGCCACCATGCCATCCATCGAGCCCGATCGTGGCCTTATAGGCTGAGAGGAAGCGCGATGCTGCGAGCCCGACTGTCGCCCCTTCGGCCAGGAAGTAGAGCTCTTCAGAGGAGTAGTGCTCTGCTGTCCTCGCCTGGTGTTCCGGCGTCTATGAAGACCATCATTTTGCCATTCACTGACCTGTGGCTCCTCACTTTCACCCTCAGTGAAGGTGGTTTCGCTGTCTCCCTCATCATCTTCTTGACATTCATCTGGATGGTGTGGCTTGTTGACCATGGCATGCAATCTTCTCACACAACAGCCAACCGAAGCAACGGCTGTTTTCCCACCCAGATTGCCCCGATCACGATCAGCAGGAGGCCGCACATCCAAAGTGTTCCCAAGGTGGAGTCTGAATCTTTCTCACCCTGGATCTCCGCAGCTTGCACTATCGCTCCACCCACCACCAACGCTTTCAAAGCCAAGGAGCGATCTTGTAGTGGAGGCACTCCCTGACCAGCGGCGGTCGACATGCTCTTCATTCGAGCTTCTCGTTCATCACCTCCTTTCAGCCCAAGGTCGGAGGTGAACCCAAAGAAACTTTGACCCGCCAACGGTTTGGTCATTCCGTCAGCTACCAGCTCTGTCCCCTTCAAGTGGTGGAGTTGCCACGGTCCACCGGGGTAGCTTGTGTTCTCCTCTAAGGCCTCGCGGAGGATGTTGGACCTGACACGAAGATGTCTCGTCCTCCAGGAAGAGTTGCTGTTTCCATGGGCAAGGCCAATGGCTGCGGCATTGTCGCCGTAAATCACCTTCTCAAAAGGGTTGGCATGATCCAACTTCTCCCCCCACATGGCACACATCAATGCTTCAGTGGCACGTCCAGCAACCAGGGCCTCGCAATACGAAACCAGCTCCGACTCCGCTGTGCTGTGCGTAGAAAAGGGCTGTGTTGAACTCTGCCATGCTATTGGAGCTCCAGCAAAGCAAATCACCAGGCCTTGAACACTTCGATGTCGAGGACCTGCACTGTATGCAATATCTGCGTAAACCTCAATCAGCCGATCATGCCGCTGGACCTTGAGCTGACCGCGAGCCCCCCATTTGTCGTGAATCTCACGGGGGTAATGCAGATCACCTGGATTGCCCTTGACATAGGCCATGAGGATGCGTCCGACTTCGATCGCCTTCATGGGGTTTTTGGTGACCAGTCGACTGAGTGCCGAAACTCCATACGTCAAGTCCGGCCTTGATCTCGTGGAGAGCCACAGCAAAGAACCCGCTATGGCCTGAGCTTCTCGAACATGCTTGCGGTCGACACCAGCCTGCTGCTCCCCATCTTCCTCACTGATCTTGAACCGGGGAAAAGCTACTGCTTCTTTCACATTCCAGCGAGCTATGATCTCCTGCTCATACTTGCGCTGGGAAATGTGCAAACCATCACCACCTTCATCAACTGTGATCTCAAATCCACAGAAGTTCACAGGGGTTTGAGGAGTTGCCCACTCAACACTCGACGTGGCCCATGTGGATTGCAGTGAGGTCAAACCAGCGGACAAAGCTTCATCCTCCCCTGCCAGCAAAATGTCGTCCACGTAGATCGACATGAGGCCCGACCACAGGTTTTCACCTGACTCGATATCAACCTCTTCAAGTCGCCAGAGGTTCTCGTCCTGGGTCTTCACGAAGTAGCCTCGAAGTTTCCGCTCTCCTTTCATGCGGACCCAACTGATACATGGCAAGGTGGCATCACGATGCTTGGACCAGTCTCGTGGAGAGGTGGTTAGGCCATACATGGCCAGCTTCACAAGCCAGACCTCGCCCTCCTTCGCCAAGCCAAGCCGCTTGTACACGGAGGGGATCTCCATTGCCACCAATTTTCCATCATCTCTTCGAGGAGCATTCAAGAAAGCCACCCAGATGTCTGTAGCCGCCACGGCCCAGCCGCGAAGCGCCGCGGTACGGACCAGAGCACGGACCTGGCAACCATCCGCTCCTCCTGCGTAGCAGTCATCATTGAAACGACTCTCAGAGTAGTTCCCGCACACCACTGCACGAGAGCGTCGAACTCCAGCTCCCGATTTGCGGGTGTAGACCATCTTGGCTGGTAGCAACTCGATAGTCTTGCCCTCACGTTGAGCTCGATCTTGGAGGCTTCTTTTTGTGATTTGCTCCACCGCTTGTTTTGTTCGCACCAGCTGATCAAACTCTGCGGTGATGGAGGGGATCCAGTTCTCGAAGTCGTCCAGGACCTCACGGTTGCTAACCGTTTTGGTGACCAAAAACTCTTCCTCCAATTCCTTGGCGTTCAACGCCTCCTGGTCCTGTTGATACTGGAGCAAAGTCTCTTCAGCCTCCAGCTTGTGCATGATGGCCCTTGACACCACCTCAGCATAACAACCCTGCTCCGCCATGGTGAGGTCGATGTGACTCATCTCCTCTCCCACGTAATCGGCCAGGTGCTCCTGCATCGCCTGAATCATCTGGATCCTTGTGATAGGTATCCTCCCAGGGACTTTACTTTGCAACGAGGCCACCAGGCATGAGCCACCGTCCTGGTTGTTTGGCGCCTCCTCCTTCTCCTCACCTCCAAACGAATCCTCCACCCCTGAACCCTTTACCTGTGTCCCCTGGGAGGATCCTTCACTAGTCCCTTCAACGTTCCAGCTGTCACTGCTGGAGGTCCTTGCAGGCGTCTCGACAGTCCAACTGTCACTACTCACTTCAAGACTGGCCAATACCGGATCATTTGGAGCATGTTCATCAAACAATGCACGATGTTCACAAAGCCATTTTTGAACACAAGCGGACATCTCCCCCTCCATGTATACCATGGACAGCTGTGGCACCGCAGTCTTTTCACGAAGCCGGCGCCGAGGAATTTGGCCTTCCCAAGATGGAGTGCTCGGAGGTTGATCCCCAATCTCCGGGAGATAGACACAAGCATCAGCGGCCTCTGGCTGCGTATGAGATGGCACCACCACATCATCAGTGTAAAAGAACCGCTTGGTCTCCACCGATTGCACATAGTAACTGGTGCTTGTCAGTGAGGATTGCAGCGCTGGGCCAAGGATGATGACTTCATCCCTGATGTCGCGCCAGGGTTGGTATCTGTCCTGCCACGACTTCTTCAGGGCATATGCCCGAGTGCCGAACTGAAGAAGGTGCCCTACAGGCAGACCAAGACTGCGAAGCTGTCCTCTGAGGCGACGTTCTCCAACATGTGTCGCAACCAGCGGCCAATGCTCCAAGCCCAAGCCAGACGTGGAAACCACAGTGCGGACATGCTTCTTTATCACCCCCAACTCTCCTTCACAACGACCATTGGATTTGTACGAGTCGCCTGAAGTCAGCGTTGTGACAATGCCTCTGTCCAATGTCCAGCGGCGAACGGGTGCAGAAATCAGCTCTCTTGCTCGATCGCAGTGCAAGCGATACAAAGGAAGCCCCAAACTACGAAGACGAGCGTAGATGCGAGCAAGAGCTTGTAGGATGTGGTGAACAGCCCTGCCAGGCAGCACCTCAACAAAGGTGACGTTGCGCACCGCGACGTCTTGGGCTTCTTGAACTCGACTTTGCCAAGCTTCCATAGCTGCTTGGCCCCGCTTCACAGCGGCATCATCACCAGCCTCCCCCGGGCCCTCTAGAGCCGGAACAGCCTCTTCTGAGAGAAGGTCTTCACCCGGATCATCGCCTTCCGGTTCTGTGGGCGTGTACTCATCATCATCCGGAGTAGGTGAGGGTGGTGTGACACTTGAACTCATGGCGAACTCCGCCAAAGGATTGCCTGCATGGTCCACCGGAAAGGTGTAGACGGCAACCATCATATACTTGCAATCATGTCGATGCTGGTCTTGACCAATGGCCATCTTGCCAGACAAATCGATGCTCAAGGTGTAGGCCTCTGGGTGATTGATTTTTCTGTGTGGCTTACTGCGTGCTGCAGAGCGGACGCAATCCTTGCAATCCCGACGGGCCGGCATGTGGTCATTGAGGTAATGCTGCCGCCAACTGTCCAAAGCCACTTGACCCAAAGGCTTCAAGGCTGCATCGAGTGAAGGCATGTTGCCACGATGAAGATGGTCATTCAAAGCCAGCACCAAAGCTGTTTTTAAGCCCGGAGCCCACTCCGCCCATTGCTTGGAGGAGTTACACCGCTCCTGCATAGTCATGGCCTGTCGATCACGGGCCTGCTCCTCAGGCTGAATGCCACTTGAAGGCCCCCGAACACCATCGAGAGCATGAATGTCCCTTAGCACCACAGCCAGCGATGTAGGCTTTCTTCTGGAGTGCCCCATTGGTCCTTGGTCGCAGTGAATCAACCGCACGTTGTAGGTGGCTTCAAAAGCTCTCCATTCCTTGGTGCGCCAGATGGGCATGAACTGCTTCTCCTGCACTTCGGAAGCTGACCGGTAACGTGCTGGATCTTCAGGTTGTTCGATGGCCAAAGCTGTCTGAGGCTCATCATCATGGCGGACATCTTCACACAAGACGTAGAGCGCCAGCATCCTGAACAGGAGGACACTGTCCCCAGTGACCAAGGCCTGATCCGATGAGGACAGGTGAGGCAAGCCGTAGGGATGCTGCTCAGTCCGCAGGACTCCTGGGCCTCCATCATCTTGGTACCTCAAAGCTGACACCGTACGACATGGTGGGCCGCCAATGAGGGCCTTCACACGACCTGAGGCAGCCAGCGACAACAGGTACTTGAACACCATGTCATCATGGATGTCAGCCGCAACTTCCGCTTGCAAATCAACACATAGCACCTCCACGTTGCCCTTCTGAAGTGCTCGCTCCCAGTACTTGGAGTCTGGGCCGGAAAACAGGTGCAACACGATTTGCTTGGCACGTTCAACACGGCGACGTTTTCGCCGATTCCATGGCAGCAACTGGCCATCCAGGTTGTGGATGTCGGACAAGTCCGGAATGACACGCATCAACACGTCATCCGGGAGGTCCTCGAACAGTGCTCTCAACTTGTAGGTCAGAGCCATCTCAGTAGACTGCTGGAGCGCTTGCATCACTGTTGAGGATGGGTCCAGCGACATGGCCTGCAGCAGCTGAGCCTTTCGCGCGAGGCGGATTTGCTGCCGTTCAAGTCGATCGATCATGGCCTTGCCGACCTCCCGAAGCACCATGGGACATCCATTTTGGATCCAGACATTGAGCTCCTGTCCAGCTTCGTCATACAAGGTGCATTGAGTATTCTTCCACTCAAAACGGTAGCCCAGTTCAGCAATGCCGCCCAAAGGAACAATCCAGGACAACTCACTGTCGGCCGGGTTGGAGAGAAGCACTTTGGAGTCGGCCTTCAGGCGCAGCTTGTCCGTAATTCCGTCGGCCAAGGTGACCTGAGTTGGCACTGCACCTTCCCACTCCTGCAAACTCAGAGCAGGTCTCAGGGCATGTGTTGCCCCTGAATCCAGGAGGACCATCAAGCCATTTGGATCGGCTTCCAGCTGGCTGACCTTGATGACCTTCAACGTAGGAGCCCGCAGTGACTTCAGCAGCTTTGTTGCTTCTTGCAGCAGGGCTTCGCTGGTCGCCGAAGTTGCTCCTGTTTCACCCTTTCCACCTCCATCAGTTGACATAGCTTCACTGCTTTGACCCAGTTGACCCTCCCCCGCAACCTCCAGCTCCTTCAACTTCATGGGAGTCGTTGTTGTGGAAGATGGACCACCTGTAGATGGCGTGGAAAGCAACGGTGCAGTGGCAGCATTCGAAGAGAGAGACGACTTGCCTCCCCCTGAACCGCTCGGTTCACTGGTGGTCTTGCCATCTTTTCCGGACTTGGTGCCCGACTTGCGCTTGCAGTCCTGCTTGCGGTGATCTTTGCCACCACAAATCCAACAGCGGGGTGACTTGTCATCAATACCATCCCAAGCATGTGACCATTTGCAGTTCTTTCCAGCTTTGCAACCAGACTCTGAGCGAAAATACTTGCAAGGCGTTGTAGCCATCGAAGTGCCCTTGCCTTTGTCATGACCAGAGGGGCCATGAATGGAAGCTTTGGTTGGCGCTTCCAGCTGCTTCACCTTGACCGGTGAGGGCGTGACCGCAGGTGTAGAGCTCATCAAGGCAATAGTCTCAGCCTCTGCAAGCAAACACTGGCTAAACCGCCAAACTCCTTGGTGGTGAGGTTGTTGATCCAGCTGCAAACGGCTTTGAGCCAACCTGAACGAAGCTTGGGTGTCCAAGGTGGCTATTTGAGTGCATGCTGGTTCCAATGCCTTCAACAGCAATGTTCCATCAGGGAGCACAGCACTGATTTCTTGAGCTCGAGCGAAGTGCCTCCTCCAAGACCGGAGTGCTGCCGCCAGCTCCGTGATGCTTCCGCTCTTGTCCAACACTGTGAGCTTCGACAAAAGGATGGCCTTCTCCCCCGCACCCCCTGGTTGATAGCGTACCAGGAGGCGAAACAGCAAAGCCGTGGAAGTCAGCTCTCTGGCGGTGATCAAGGCCTGTTGCTGGTCGGCCGGAATGGCCCGTAGAAGCAAGTTGACACCTCTTTGCTCTGTGCGCTGGTATCGGCCGTCCAACAACTCATCCGGCAGCCGAGGATTGATTTGTACCCGAGCGAGAGGCGAGCTTGTCTTCCAGCGGTCGTAGAAGCATTGAGCCTCTCTCAATGTCAGATTCCACCAGCGAGCGCTCACCTGAGAGATGTCCCGGAGCACTGGGCCGCAAACCGCCAGCCAGTCACCTAATTCAATAGGCGATGCATCGGATGCCAGCTCGGGAAGCTCTGCTTTGCTATTGCCAGTGCCTTCATTCCATGGAAGGGGGGCAGGACCAACACCGTCATCCCCTCTCCAACGACCATAGCCCCCAGTTCCACCAGCAGGCGGCTCAGGACTGATGTTGCGACCTCCTGGAACCGACACCCAAGGATCCTGTTGACAAACACCGTCAGGATTGGGAGGGCATACACCATCATGACCGTGAGCTGTGTGAGAACTGCCCATCGGACCCGCTAGAAAATCTTGAAATTCATGACCATGAAGACCCACAAAGTTTCCCTTTTGAGGTGCGCTAGAAGTGTCATGGGAGCTGGCTACAAACGAAACCTTGGCTTCATCCTTCAGGCGCTCGAGGGTCTTTCGAAGGTCTGCCACTTCCTGTTCCAGCCGAGATGCATGAAGTTCCGCAGGAGTCACCCGCGGCTCGAAGGTTTTCCCCTCCCTCAAGCCAAGAGGCAACCAATGGTCGTCGCCGTGGTGGCGCCGCCCATCTGCGACTTCATACCCTCTCAACTGTTCTGCCAAGGTGCCAGGCGCAGGAAACGGAGGCAGCTCCAGACCACCATCCACATCACCAGGCGGCGGCCCAGGTGGCACTTGCGTGCCATTTGGTGTGAACTTGGACAAATCCTTTTGGCCCCTTTTTGTGGGACTTCGCCCTCTTGGGGTTTGAGGAGGTTCAACATGCAAGGACTTCATGGTGATCTTTTCCCCACCACCACATCCAGCCGGCCCACCATCCACACGTTCCCACGACGACGGGATCGACGAAGAAGTGGCGCTGCCCTGCATGGTTTGTTGACGTTTCAGTTCAGCGACCTCACTCGTCAACAACTCATTTTGCTCCCTCAAAAAGGTGACCATCTCCGCTTCAAAGGCTCTTTGGAGGTGATCAGGCTCCGAAACTGAAGCCTTGGCGGTGACTTTTGGTGGAAGAGGGCCCTCGGTGACCTTGCCCTGTCCTCCCAAAGACTTCTTTTCAGTCGGAGTGGCGCTCATCGGCATGGTTCCGTCAGATCGCCGTCCCTGACCACGGCCTTCAGCTTGACGATGACTAGGTGGGGTGACGAACATCCTGCCACTCTGAGATCCTCCTTGTGGCACTTCACCGTGCCCTTTTCCAGAGGTGCCAGTGCGACCATCCCTCACCGGAGCTGCTTCTCGCTCCTCCCAGTCATCATCCTCGCCGTCCTGCGGGAGCGGGAGGTTCTCCGGTCTTCGCGCCCGGAGTGCCACCTCGGCCTTCAGCCGATCTGACCACCATGGATTGGCCACCACTGGCCCCCCCGTCGGAGGGAGCGAGTGGGCTCGGTCCATGGCTGGAAGTTAAAAAAACGTCGACTTTGGGCTCATAACCCTCATCGACAAAGCGCGAACCGCTTCTTTTCACTTGAACAAAATGCCTCAGTTAAGAGGTCACTTGTGCTTGTCTTCACTCAACAGACCGAGAAAACATGCACTCCTTCTCATTGAAGCGTAGACTGGTGCCGCCTCCAGGTGTCCTGGCACGAGCGGTGTGCAAGGATGGACTGCATTACTTGGCTTATATAGTCCGGTGAATCACATGTTCTAATCACAGAAGACGTTGGAAAACTGAAGCGCCATCCCTCATGAACACCTCAACCTCATAGTCATAGCCATTCATGCCCCCAGGCCAATGATGGGTTTTGATTACAACAAGCACTACAGGGATCTGTAGCTGCTGATTGAAATCGGATGCAACAGCGGCACTCCGCGGCATGAATTCAAACGTCATCCTTGCAAGAACCTTGCCAGGGGAAATAGACTTAAATGATCTTAAAATATCTTAAATGTTCTGTAGTCCCAGACACCTCTAACAGTGGACTCGTGCAGTCTGAGACTTGTCTGGCAAAACGGTCTGTGTCCTGCTCAGCAGCTGACACAAGCGCCACTCTTCTTTGTCTTCCGCCGGGTACCACACGTACTCCTTGCGGCCTTCTGCCATATAACATCGTCGTAGGAGTCGTACGAGAAGAAGTGTTTTGTGACTTCTGTGCCACTAGATGGAGTGTCCATAGTGTGCACTCGTGTCCACCAGAATGAACCGAAGCATAGAGAATGATTCAGAATGATAGAGAATGAACGACTGTTCATCTACTTCATGGATTCTCATGACTCTGTTGGTGTAAGCTGAGACTTTGCAGCTCCGATTGCCAGGTGTGAAGTCGGCCGAGGCACAAACATGTGACTGTTTAAAAAACCGGAGAGTTTTATTAACAGTCGGTAGTCTACATTATTCCGACCTGCGATCCTCAAAGAGATACGAAGACGCTATGAGATACTGTATCCACACCGATGATGCCGTGGATTGTTGTGAACTGTTCTGGTTGTTCGTTTCACAAGTGTGCCACACCAAACACTTCTTTTTGATCATGCAGCCAAATCAGCTCGAGAACCAGTTCCAACACTATAGTGATGTGACGCTCGGTACGGAAGACATGTGCTTTCAGCACTATTCTAAGCTCCCCTTTTCAGTGTCGTTTCTGTCTTTTCAGGTGTGGCCAGCCATGGCCAGGCATGGCTCTATCCTCCGCTCCGCCAATACATCTCCAAGTCTGAATTGGCCAAGTCTGAAGCCTTTGACCATGGCATCTTTGGCCATGTCCGACTTGCATCTGGTAAAATCGATGACCCCAACACGTCGGCTTGATCATTGGCGATCCAGCCCAAAGGTGCCGAAGATTCTCATACAAAGCATTCGCGCTACTAGGAAGCTAGTAGTAACAAGTGCCTTACTAGTAGTAACAAGTGCCTTACTAGT